CGGGAGCGCGGCCGCCGCCCGCAGAAACGCTAAGGAAGAGGGTAACTTGCGTCCCGCTTGGCCGCGGGCATCACCGCCTCGCTGTGTGAGCCGCTCCGCCCTTGGCGCTTTCTCTGGGTCCCTGCTTGGACAAGCGCCGCAGGCACCGACGTTCGAGCGCTCGGTGGGAAATGAGGCGCAGCCGCGGAGCCCGCTGTGCCCAGCCCCGTACGGACACGGCTCCGTCAGCTGTTCTGGTGGAATACAGGGAATTAGTCTAAATATAATATTGTCTGTAACCCCACTGCTGCAGCGCATTTGTCAGTAAAGCTGCCTCTTGTGCCCATGACACCACAAGACTCGTAACCTCAGTTCAAACTGTAGGTGACAGATGCTAACTTCAGCAACATTTTCCTTTCCTACCTACCCACCACGAAGCTGTTCTTAAGTCTATTCTCAAAGAGAACCAGAGCACGCTCTTAGCACAAAATTTTATTTTACCCTGACCCATGCTTTTTACAGTTTATACATATTTTACAACTAGAAACCAAAGGTTCCAATTTCACCATTTCATATTCGGGATCATTGTAGCCCTTAGTTAAACAAACGTATGGAAATTGCAACAAACTTGTTAGCAAGACAAAAAAAAATTAATAGAACTAACCCTCTCATGTGTGGACACCCAGGCTTTCGAACATCTCCTGTGTTCATAAAGGGTGCAAGATGGTGCACAACAAAGCGGGTGCCAGCGCAGTCTGTAGCTCACCCACCTACCTTCACTGAGGCTTTTCTGTTACCTTCCATAAAACGGGAAATAAGCCTCCTGAGCAGTGCTCTGAGTAAGCCTTTAAATAGCATTTCTTCACACTTGCATATGCAGTGAAAGCAAGGTGTAAATTAGTTGAATATTCTAAAATAATAAAAAGAGAAGTGGAGATTAGTATTCTGATCTCAGGCCTTTCATTTTGCGTTTTGTCACTTTTCTAGGCAATCTCAGCAATAGCAAGAAACTCAAAGTGTCCGAGCAGGCATTAACGTTCCTCCCAAAAAATCCCCACAAGATTTCTATCACAGGTGACCCACACAGAACACTTGGAAATCTGTTACCTTCCAACAACCGCTGTGTTCTTCCAGGGCTTTGATGATTAAGACACAGCAGGCCATTGGATCCTGATGTGATAGTAAACGTTGCACTAAACGGGAATAAAGAATCTAAAACCAGTCGATACAAATATTTACATCTACTTTTGAAAAAATCTCAAAAATCTAATGCTCTTGACAAATGCTTTTGTAGTTCAAGCAGTTAATGCTGATTGCATGTCAAAATGTGCCATTTACCCGAGCTCTTCCTGCAAAGCCCAGATAGGCTGAGACTGTCCGCAAAACTGCATCCCTCAAGGGGGATCTCCTCGCCCATAACACAGGAAATGTTACCTTCAAAAGCACTGGCAGCAACAGCTCCAAATGAAAGTTCAAAGGATTTTATTTATTTATTTTAAAGAGTGCTGCATTTGTCTACCAAGACTGTAAAAAAAAAAAAAAAGTGAAAAGTCAGCAATTTATTGATCTGGTGCAGCAGATAAAAGCGGAGTAAAATTTCTAAGGTTGAATTTCTAACATTTACACATTATATTTCTAACCAGTAAGTTCCAACAAGTGTTCTCAAGTGGATTTTTGGGAGTTCTTTGTGTGGGCATTTCTTTTGTTTTTGAGACATAGAACAACCAACCATGCTTCAATATGAAGGCAAATTGTTAAATTCTGAGCTTAGAAGAAAAATGGCTGCATCTTGGTTTCCAAAACTGAAATTAAGACACTAAGAGGGTAGTTCCTTCCCATCGCCCATGGGAAAAAAAAAGAAAGTCTTACATTATTAAATCAGTTGGTTTCTATGATGGGGGGAAGTTAAGACAAAATTTTAGTGTTCCTCCTCTAGGGCTTTACTGAAATCCTCAAGAGTAACTGCATGAGTCTCAAACTGAACTAAGCTTTTCCAGAACATACCCTTGCCTGTGTAACTTCAATGACTGTTCTCCTAAGGAAGAACAAAGCCCTAACACCCAAAGAAAGGTCACATTACCGAGAGACTTTTCTCCAGAAGCAATTTCCCATCATTCATATCCTTTGTCTCTCTCCAGCCACGGAATACACAAGTAGGAACAGAGTTCTCCAACACAAATTACAACTCGCAGGGATGTGAAGAAGACAGAGGCAAGGGTATGATAAGCAAAGAATTTGAACTGCTGAGTATTTCACACGAGTAACAGTTCTGACATGTAGCAAAACAGTCACTGTCTGGAATGCAGAGAGGAAGACACGAGCTTCTTCCCCTGATTCTCAGCATTCCCAGGGGTCCAATTCCAACATTTCCTCTGGCATTACCAAAAATGCAGCTAAACTTCAAGCCACGTGGATACTATTTGACCAATATCTCGCTTAAGGAATGGCATGAGAAATACTTTGCAGCCACTAGAGACTTGCCTGAAAACTATATTAAGTCACAGGACAAGTTTTCAAAAAGTCTGAACTTCGCTACTTCTATACAAGGAACCATGAGAGCAGCAGTAATTATTTAAAAAGAAAAAAAATATATAATTTTCCTGCATTCTTCTGAACTGTTTTAGCTGCGGTTAAAAAAAAATCAGCATCCAAATCTAGAACAAATATTGAATAGTTCAGATTTCTAGTGTTAAAAGTTAAACACATTTCAAATGACAAGCAGAGCTGCTGTCTCTACACAGGTCATGAGACAACACAAGCAGTACACAGGATTATGCTGTAATTTATACAATTTCATCTGAGTCTCACATTCTGCTTAGAGGACTTGGTGTAAAATAGACTAATCCAACTTGTCTAAGCATAGAGAATTATCATCCTAACATGTTCAGATGTTGCAAGTACAAATATATGAGATTTTCCTGTCATAAAAAATAGCCATTATGCTTCAGATAGCAAGCCACTGCTATTTGGTTATTAAAAATTTACTGATGAGATTTTAGAAAAACTCAATATATATTAAGAACACTTAAGAAAGACTTGTAATGTCATTTGGACAGGTAAAAAGAGTTTATGAATCAAAGGCTGCTTTAGCACAACTCATGTCTTCCAGTGTGTCTCACGAGGTAACAATCATAATCTCTGCTACTGCTTACAAGTAAAATGGTCCATCGTTAAGCAAAAACTTAAATAAAGGGATGACTGAAAAAAAAATTAAATATTGCACAAATAATTTAACTGCAGACAGTACAAGACACTTAAAGCATTGATTTTTTTGTCAATGTATGAACTCTATTATATAGTCACATTTTCTATAGTACAGGGTTTTTTCTTTACAAGACATATAAGTTCAGCATTTACATAAACCATTATCTTTACAGTCTGTTATCATATAACATTAAGAGTTCCAGCAGAAGTTAATTCTGTCTTTGTTTTAGAAGTTCATCTATCTGAGTCTTGTACATGTTTTTCACATCTTCAAGATCCAGTCGGAGTTCTTCAGCTTCCTCGGCTTTCTCTCCATACATCTGAAGAATGGTGTTGTATCTTTGATCCAAATCCTACGAGGACATATAGTTTGTTACACGGAAAATAAGTGTAACACTATTTTATTAAAGTTTAATTACTTTACAACGAAGCACACTGTAAACTCTTAAATAAACTACCTTACGCTTTGTCTCTCTGCATATTGCTAGATTTATACGCTAAATGTAAAAGGAAGATCCTTGACTACAAGGATCTTTGACTACTGGCTTTGAAGGATATACTGACACACCTTCAAGTTCAACTGCTACAAGCATTAAAAAAAAACCCCAAAACAACAGTTAGCCAACTGCACCAAGTTTTACTGCAGGAATGACCACAGTTTGTGGAATGCTTCCTTGGGAAATTTAACATTCTGCATTTGAAGAACAATGATCATTTCCAAAATTACTCCCAAACTCTTTCTAATATTTCAAGTTCTTAAACATTCAGAAGATTAAAATATTTGTCTGGTTACCTGTATCGGTGTTGCTTCTGCATGAAACTCACATAAATCCATGCTATTTACCAAAACACCCCCTCCTCTACACAGACTGCTTCCAGACAAGTGTCTTCAATGAGAGAAACAAAAACCATTCTCTCCCTGATTTCGCAGGCAATCTTACACGCTGTGCACGTTTCTAGTGACTGCATTTTGAAGTGACTACCAAGTCACAGAGTGGGCATTTTCAGGTTCTACTATTAAAAAAAAACACCAAAAAACCAAAACAACAACAAACAAACCCCACCAAACCCCCAAAACCTGGGCTCCCCCGTCATTTATGGTTAGGGGCAGATTTTATTATAATCCTGAATTGATAGGCGTATTCCAAAAAATACCCAAATATGTCAACTCTAAATCAGATTTACAACAGGAATACACTTACCTTTAACTGGGCCCGTAATTTTGGTACTTCCCTCACTTTTTCTTCAAGTTCATCGTTTTGATTTGTTAATTTAACCAGTTCTTCTGCCATTATTGATCGAGTTTTCTCAAGGTTTCCAATTTCCAGCTAAGGTAAACATTTTTAACAATTAGTAGGAGGAAAGTATTTACTGTATTTATAAAACCATGCATAAGAATATTTGGATACAGTAATTAAGGCTTTTTCTTAAGCCAGGCTATGAAACAGCACTCCCTGGAAGCACTCCCACTTTCTTCTCAAATCTGATTGGTGGTGTTATGGGTTATTTTTCTTTTTCAGATAGAAAAGTTTGGTTTTCTGGACAGGTCCTTGCCAAAACAAAAAAGGAAGCAATAAATCCTTCTTTTGCTCTTCCCTATTTTTTCTATCGTGCTACCAACAAGACAGGGCGAGAGTGAACGTGTTCTGCTGTGAGGAGAAGGACCAACCTTTCTGAGTATAAAACGATTGCACAAAATTTAAATATAATATTGATTGCATTGGCATTTTTATATATATACATATATATGTTGTGCTTGGTTATATAAGATGAACTGCAGTACCTGTAGATGTGAAATCTCTCCTTCTCTTAGTTTTAGCTGTGATTGAAGGTTTTCAATTATACTTGAACCTGCTCCCATCCTTATAGCATCGTAAAGGTTGCTCCCACTGGTAGCTATTGGCCCAAATGAGTGATCATGAGGATCATCCTACCAAAAATAAAAAAAAAAAAAAAGTTAGAGAAGCTTAAAAGTAGACAAAGAATTGCAACCCTTTGGAATCTTCCCTCCCCCAAAGTCCTATTTAATTTTAAATTATACTGGTTTTGGGCAAGCGTTTCAATGCCTAAAGTTTGTTTTTAAAACAAAAGTTTAAGGTGAACAGGGTCAACGCGGTCTAGCTCCTCACTGGCAAGTTCTCACGTCACCTACACAACTGTCATTCCACTTGGGCATCCCATAACCAAAAAAAGCAGCAGAGTTCACACAGACCACAGTCAGTGATACTTCCCAGGGAGCAGGGTCATGCCCTAAACCAGGATTGCTAGTACAAATGTACTAATCTGCTTCCTACTAGTGTTATTCAGTTCTTCTAGACAAGATGAGACATGTAAACTCAGCACCAATACATGTATATATTAGCCTGCAATAAAAATGGTAGTTTCACACCATCTTTCACAGATCCTTTACAATCAGACTTCTTGTACGTAGGTTTCTGAAGTTTCTGCATAGGAATTACCTCCAAGGCAAATATACTCTTTTCAAGAGCTGTTTGCTACATTAATAAAACTTCTTGAAGAGAAAAAAAAAGAAAGCAGTCTGTCAAAAGAGAAAAGAAAAAAAGCCATTATAACTGCTATATGATGATACCTGTGAGAGGAAAGACGTCTGAAGACCTGCCATGTCAACTCCACTTATGGAACTAGAGCGTGACATAGTTGGAGTACTTGAAACAGTTTCAACCGTAAATGACTTCCGATCCTTAAAAAAAAAATAACAAAAAGCACAGGCCACACATGACATCATTAGATAAAGAAAAAAGTTTACAAGAGGGTGAAAGACAGATTCTGTTAAGAATAGACTGCCCTCTTCCACCACCAACTACACAACAAATATGACAGACCTTTCCCCTTCCCTGAGCCCTAAAATATTCGAAAGACCAAACAACGTCCTACTAACACTTGAAGTGTATAATCAAATCCTCAGACTTTTCAGGAAATGAAGACAGAAGTTGCAAATTATACCAAAGTTGCAAATTATACCAAAACAATGTCAAGTAGCCAAGGAAGATTCAGAGGCAGTTTCGTATGCCCAAATGTAGCACAGGAAGAATATCCTAAACCTAGAATTATGTCTCCTTTTAGAATGCACGTTAATACTTTTTTTTAATATAGTGTGCAGATTGAAGTTTCGTATGCCCAAATGTAGCACAGGAAGAATATCCTAAACCTAGAATTATGTCTCCTTTTAGAATGCATGTTAATACAGATTGAATTCTGAGATTTCTCATATGCTAAAACCATACTGACAGATCTTCCAAACAGCCTAGCCTCTTTTTACAGGCAGCATCAGAAAGTGTGCTAGACTCCGTAGGAAAAAGCACTTAGATCTTTAGAACTGGAGATGGTAAGAAATCAGTAATAGAAACGCTTTTGCTTGAGTATTAACTGCTAATTAGCAGTAACAAAGCTGACAACTGACTACTGAGGAGTGTTGTGTGACTTCAGCTGGAGCGCACATGGTACGTTACAAGTAGTCACGTGAAACGGGGAACAGGAATTCAGTGGAAGCAACGTTAGCAGTCTAAGCAAAGAAAACAAGCAGCTTCAGAAGAGAAAGAACACACTGTACTGCTCTAAGTCCACTTTGCTGCTTACAACAGTTTCGGGTTCCAGATATCTACTAAAATAATAGCATCAGTAAGATTGAACAGAAATGTTATGCTTTGGTACCTTCTCCTTTGCTGCTTCTTGCACAAAAATTGCCTTCTTTCTTTCCTGTTCAACTTTCATCTTCTCCATTTCTAACTGAGTAGCTAGTAGCGTCTGTAAAAATAAATACAGCTTGTTCAAGTCCTGCTAGCTCAGACTTCAACAGTAACATAGCTTAAAGCTGAAGCAGGTAATACCTTTTCTTTCTTTGCATCTTCCAAGGTTTTTGCATACTCATCTTTGAGTCCCTCTAGTTCAACCTCATACCTACATTGAGGAAAGAAAGTCAGAGAACAGCAGTACAGCAGCATTCTGCGTTTACTTTAGGTTCAGATACTTTGAAAACAAATAGAGCCTCAAGGCATGAAAGCAACATACTTTAGAGAATCTTTAGCATGAAACAAAATCTCCCTAACATCCTGAGCAACTTTATCAATAGCTGTCATTTTGCATAGCTGTATCAGTGCTCAAAAGGATCAACTCTTCCGGCTTGCAAAAGGAGATTGGCTGCAGGTAGTTATGCAAGAGATACCTCACCTCACTTCACTCTGATTTTAAAGAGACACTGTTAATGAAAAATGCAACTCACCTACTGTTTTCATTTTCCATTTTCTTCAGTTTGCTTCTCTCCACTTCTAGCTGTGCCTGAAGGCGTGTATTTTCTTGCCTAAGAAGACTATTCTGAGATTCAGTAGAAGACATCTGAATTTTATTAGAAAGAAGTTCTTCTGTAGCAGCCCGTTCTCTCTCAGCAGCTGCTGCTAGAAGAGTTTGAGACTCACCTAATATCAAGTAAAGAAAACCACAGGATTCAATTTTTTTATTAAACTTATATAATGTGGGCCATTTATTTATCTAGCAAAATGGAATTTGAGATTTTTTTTATATGCAACTGTTTTTTCTTTTTTTAAAAAAAATTTCTTTACTTCATGCTCTTTCAGAACACAATATGCAATCACAAATTGCTCCCAGGAAGGAAATTATTTCTCTGGGTCCACTTTTTGGCATTTTATGCAATTTTCATTAACAATAACAGATTACTACTGTATCAATAAATATGTTTTGTAACCTATGCAATTAAGTAAGTAAACGATTCCAACCTTTACAATATGGAATCTAAGCACCAGACCTGACAACTGAAAAACACTGGTAAGCTTTCAGCATTTCAGCGTCCGTCCTTCCTTTGGCTGCTGTCAGGACACATACACCTTAACACCTCTATCTTACAATCCTATGTTACACCACATTTTCAAGATAATCAGTGAATTACCCCCTCCAAGAACCTCGACAGAGTACCCCACACACCATTTCCTTACAAGAAAGCATTTTGTGCTTTTCTCTCCTGATCCCTTCTGGGCAAGTGTCAAGCCCTTTACATTTAGCTTCGGCCATCCCGCATCTCCATCAAGAGTCTCACAGGTCAGTAAAAGCATCTCACCAAGTCTGTCAGACAGGTTCTTTTCCAATTTTTCCCATGCAGAAGTTTGTGCTCCCAGTGTGGCTTGCAGATTTTCTATCTGCCGGAGAAGTGGCCGTGTAGCAGATGTAACGCTTTGACTCAATTCTTGGTTCCGGCTCTCTGCTTCTTGGAGTCTCTGAAATCACAAATTAAACGTAATTAAGCTTTAAAATCATATGATGGAGAAAATCATTAATCTAGAATTCAGCTCAACATGTAGCAGCTGCTTTACATCCTAAAATTTGTAGGTTGAGACTCACAGCAAAGTGTGAAATTTCAAGAAAGGCCTAACGTTTGTAGATACATAACAGAGCAACAGCCCTGAAATTTACATTTCAAGAGTCCTCTGGACATCACTTGAAATGTTTTGGCAACAATCCATCTTCGGACATTATAAACTTAGGAAGCAGCTAAAGCGTAACCTAAAACATATTTGCTAGCAATATTAGGGGACTACTGCAAACTTAATGGCTGTACCTTGTCCTGTACTAAAATCAGAGCATCACAGAATGTTAGGGCTTAGAAGCTACATTTAAAAGGCATCATAAGAATCATGATTTTGTTTTCAACATGTGATTAAAAAAGCATTTCCTTTAATATTTTTTTGTTGCTGTTCTACACAGGACAAATACTAGTTCATGTAACCAAGCCTCTTTTTCATGCTATTAATGTCACACTAGCATTTCATTTTCAGAAGCCCTCCTTGCAGATGCGAGTGGGCATCAGCTATTTGCTGTAGCACCTCTTGTAGTTCACCGATTTCCTGGCGTAAATAGTCTTCTTTTCTTGCTGCCTGCTGTTCCGCACGTTGCAGAGCTAGCCTCAGGTCTGCCACCTAAATAAACAAGATATTGTCACTAATTTCTTGTCAAAAATTGTAGTACCACCTATTCATTGCTGCAGGCCTACACCATTTTTAAGAGTTAGACAAAGTATTCCTGTTTACAAGTTAAAGGCTTAAGTTCTGCACACATGCTTACAGTTACATTGATTTATCTATCTCTAAAGATTTTATCAAGCTAAATTTCTTGACTTTGCATCATCGTAAGAGCACTACAAACTTAACACAGAGCCTGTCAAAGTAATTTTGTTTACACAAGTAAAATTAAAATATTTTTAGATAAAAATGATATTTTAAAGCTTATCTCAACTAAAGACAAGTTCACAGGAAAGAAATTTACTGGCTACTGGCTAAGCACACAAAAATGCCTTATACTGCATCTGGTTCATTCCATCAGATGCACGCAGCATTCGATTACATTCATTTGTTCAGTGAGAAAGTTTTATTTGTTGCATTTAAGACCCACCTGAATTGCCAAAGCTTCTTGTTGCTGCCGAGCCTCACCCTGGGCCTTCTCCAGAGCTAAGCCAAGCTCTTCCTTTGCCTTCATTTCCCGACTTAGGGCTGCTTCTTGTGCCTCACTGTCCTTTGTAGCATTAGCTTTATGAAGATCTGCAAGTTCCCTGGAGAGAGGAAAAAATAATAATTAAAAAAAAAAGGTGTTTGCATTGACTTTGTGAATAACTTCATTAGATATGAACATTTCACAATCATGGCACAAGAAATAGACAGAGAAGCTGAACATAAGATGATAGGAGACTGACAGGACAAGGGGAAATGGCCTTCAGTTGCGCCAGGGGAGGTTCAGGTTGGATATCAGGAAGAATTTCTTTACAGAGAGGGCTGTCGGGCACTGGAACAGGCTGCCCAGGGAGGGGGTTGAGCCGCCATCCCTGGAGGTGTTTATGAGCTGGGTAGATGTTGTGCCGAGGGACATGGTTTAGCAGTGTTGACAGGACTAGGACAAAGGTTGGACTCTATGACCATGAAGGTCCCTTCCAACCAAAATGGTTCTATGATTCTATGACTGACAAACTTCCACATACTTGTACGCGCTGTCAAGTGCTGCCTGGACACTTCGGTTCCGTTCTTCAAGATCCTCCACCTCTGCCTGAAGTTTAGCGAGATCCTTTTCTTGTCGCTCTACAACACTGTTCAGTTGTTTAATACTGTCTCGGTGCTGCTTCTCAAGGTCTTCCTTGCCATCAAGCACCTGTAAGAGTGCAAACAAGAAGCATGAGACTAACCCCAACAACGCCATATAAGGGCAGTGACAACTGTGGCAATCAATTCAGGATGAAGTGACACAAAATGACTAAGGTTTTGCTCCCCTATCTTCCCCAGAGGAAGGGGCTCTGCTCTTCACCAGTTTCACATAGTTCTTTGTATTGGGTCTGCTGCTTTTAAGGTCTTGATTCAAATCGCAGAGCAAACAAAACTGTCCAAATTTTGATGGTACAGGTTTTCCAACTAGAATTTAGTGTTCAGAATTTGTCAGCCCACCTGACCACCAGCAGCGCGAGCACAAACAACCAGCTGGGAAGATACCTGAGCACAGTTTTAAAGTGGTCTGGGAACACAGAAATCACATCCCAGCGTTGGGGTAGTATGGGTTAGGGTTAGCTAATATATAAATATATATATAGCTTTTTAAAAAAGAACAGACGAACAACAAAATCCCAAATATCTCACCTGCTTTAAATGCTGCAACTCCTCTTCCAATTCCTTAAGCTTTTTGTTCTGTTTTGTGTTAAGATTTTCTCTCTCTTTTTCTTTGGCTCTTAATTTCTTAATGATGTTGGAATTGTGCAGCTGCTGTTTGGAAAGCTTTTCTCCTGTGCAGAAGTGCATATCGCTGTTAGTCTATGAACTTTCTCTATTCACACCTTTCCCTGCTCTTCAACCCCGTGAAAATAATAATGAAATATGCATTAAAATACTTACTCCTAAATTTTTTCACGCAAGTTCTTAAGTTTTAGATGTACCTTATCCTGAGATGACCTTTCTACACTAAGCTATAGTGAGATACTAGAAGCAGTGAAAGGCTTTGGAAGTAAAGTGAATGGCTCACCATTTCAGGAAGAGAATCAAAATGGCCTGTCATTTAGTAACTAAGTTTTACTTCAAAATTAAAAAGGAGCAAGGGACACACTGTAGAAAAGCCCCAGTTAGATTTCTACTGAATGGAAAACGGAGAAATGTACTGCGAGCTAGTTTTACCTCACAGCACCACTTAACGCGTACTGCAGAAAATATCCCTCTAGGCATCCGTGTGTGACTGATCCCTCCTGTTGCTCTTTACCGTTAACTAGATGGTTCAAATGTTCACAACCATCTAACAGGCTTCAAATGCTGTATTTTTTCATATAAAGAAGGCTTACATGTGAAGGGAGAACATTTCAAATTACCGTACAAACTTTTACTACAAAAAAAATTTTGATTTCTCACCTTCCTCCATCAATCCTTTGATTTGTTCTTCTTTTTCTTTCAGTAATTCAGCAGTTTCATTGGTATTTAGTCTAGTAGCCAATTCTTCTTTAACAGTCTTCACTTCCTAAATAATAGGATAGAATACTTAGGACTTTTTATTAAAATATATTTAGGAGAAAAACACATAGTAAGTTACATTGATCACCTTTTTCTTCTCCCCCTCCTCTCAAAAGGCTTTTCTCTGAAAGCAGATGAGGTTGGTAAGGAACTCTGGAGATAATCTCATTGAATCAGATTGCTCAGAGCCTTATTCCAGCAAGTTTTAAAAACCTCCAAGGACAGAGACTCCACAAATTTGCTGTACAATTTGTTCCAACTCCTCCTTCCATTTCACTTTCTATACTTTTGTGATATAGTAAAAACAGTTATATTCATGCACAGGTATCAGATAATTTTTCTATTTCAATTTACTACTGTGCCAATGCAGTTTTTTTCCACTTACTTACAGATTTAAGTTTACTTTTGGCAGACTAGCAATAAACTAGTGAAACATAATGCTTTGTTATCAGGTCAAGAACATTACAACTCCATAAACGCCGTTGCTGCAGACTTCTTTGCTCATTCCAAACCAATCCGTCATCAATCCTTAATTTTCCTACCAGTTAATCCTCTAAAGAAGCCATTCCCACTGTGTGTCACTTCCTCACATCCCCAGGCTATTCTAGTCCCACACACCAAAACAAATGCATATATGGGTACAAGGTAAATGACAGCCAAACTTAAACCATTTTTTTTCCCCTAAACCACACTAAATAACTTAAATGAGTTCCATAACTTAGTTCACAACACTGCTGCAAGAATACACATGTCAACACATGGAAATAACGAGCAGCCTGGGAGGCTACAATCAGCTTATGCTTGTTACTAACACCAGGAGATAGCACCTGGCAGTTTCGTGCTTCTCCTTAGCTTAATTTTTGTGAATTTATTTCAAGAAATGTAACTGCATTCTAAAATAATAAACATTAACTTCACTAAAAAGCAAAATTACCTTTTTAGCTGCATCTCTTTCTTTGCAGGCTAGCTGGAGCTTCTTCTCGGCATCCGCAATTCGCTGAGCAAACTCCTCTTTAAGAGATGAAAGGCTACTGCTCTCTTCTTTCATTCTGAACATTTCACTACATTTAAAAGTCACATTTCAGAACAGCTGCACAGTTATGTGACATTACAAGCAGTTTGCAATAGACTGTCTTAAACACTTTTAAAATGTGAGTTTGGCGTTGTTTTGTTGGGCTTTTTTAATGTTATTTTATTCTACACGTTAACCAGAAGTAAAAAAAAAAAAATATTCATATTAGAAGTACTAATCAAATATCTTTATTAATTCAGTAATTTACACAGGAAAATGAAATGCTTGATCCAGCTTAAATGTTTTGCCCCTTCGTAAGTTTTTTTCTGATTAAGCACAGTCTGCATAATATACAGGGTAGATTATTAAATGTATTTTTTAAGTTAAGATCAGTTTAGTCATTAAATAATACCTTCACATATTATCTGTATATTTTAAAACTTGATATTTGATCAGTAAACAGGTAAATCCAACTTTTCTTTTTTTTTTTCCTTTTAATTTTAACTGAATTCAGGTTTTACCCTGAACCAGCCCTTCTGCCACACTGTCACTGCCTACATTTTAGCCAACAAATTACTTAGTAAATCAGGTTCATCCATCTGTATCAGAAAAGTCAGTCTCCCTCAATAGCTGAATCCAGTCTTATAATAAGGATCTCCATTAATAACCGAGTCTGACTCTACATGTTTGTCACTCCTACTGCTTATTTACTGAAAAATTTGTCACTAGCTTCTTTTCAACGAAATAACGTGCTTTTAAAAAAACACCACATGCAATCATTATTTCCACCTTTCCCAAACAAAGCACATCCCTTGCAACCTTTGATCTAGTTGTAAAGCTACTTCTTTTACAATGTTGTCTGCTGGTTGTCTTATAGTAAAGTTACAGTTACACCCACTACTGTGTATATTTTCGTACTTACTCTTTTAGGTTATCAAATGCTTCTTCCAGGCGTGCCTTTTCTTTACTAGTACTTAATAACTGTATTTCCCTCTTCTCCAGTTTCTCAGTTAATGAATCAATCATCTGGACAATGTTTTTACAGATAAAGATCAGATGAATGGGATAAATAAAACACAAGGGGGGCAGGCTTCCCCTTCCCCCCCTCCCCACTCCCTCCCAACACTATTTAAAGCTGAACTAGTCAATGTTTTTAGGGATCTGAGGTAACAGTCAGTGCAGCTTACCATGTTTCTGACACCCAAATTTAGAACTCAGCAATACCTAAACACAAGACACCTGTATTGTACAAGTGCAGAAATCCTACTAGAAACACACACGTGGCTCAGCCAAGTTCCTTAACAAAATCACCAACAGTTATATTTAATTATCAATGAAGTTTTTAAACAGATCTTATAGCCTATAAATCTACAGCTAACATTGCCCATTACTCCCACTGCTCCTTATACCCCTCTTTACAGAATCACAGAATAATTTACCCTGGAACTTCTCAGCTGTGAAACGTTAGCACAAAGCAAAAAAACAGCATCAGGTGAGGGAAGAAAACTTTCAAGGAGGGTCAAGAGCTTAACACTAGCTTTCGAAAAACTAAATTTAGAGGAGTAACAGAAATGTAGATGAAAATACAGAAACATAAACAAATGATATAAATCCTTTAAGCATAGCTCAATATGACAGATGAAAGACAAAATCTGCTGTGGTCCATTATCACTATTTCCCACAATGTATAACCATTTAAATTAGGGAAATTTGTGGATAACAGTCCACAGTTTTGGAGTTGCCTAATGAATTTACACAGAAAAATCAGATTACACTGGGGTTTTACAAACTCCCATAAGCAAGGCAAAGCCACGAGCAGGGCCCATTTATGTCACATATTAGGCACACAGACCATGAGCAAAGCAAAACACAAAGAAAGAGAGAAAAAGACATATCAAAGGAGCTCAGAAATTTAAAACAAAAATAGAGGAACAGGAAGGCACAAAGGAAATGGGAAAAGAGATAGAATATACAATCCACTAGCAGAACCAGACAAAACACACTGCTTCAAAGCTCCAGCTTAGCCTTCCATCTACTTGAATATCCTACTTCATCACATTTCTAGTCATTCCATCTATCTAAATTAGCCATGCAAATTGCTTTAATCTCTTCACTATTCATAACTATGCTTATCTTCTTCACTAAAAAGCCTAGTGTATCTTCTTTTCAAAAGTAAAGACCATTTTTCCTGAAAACAAACATTAATTTGTCCAGTAAAAAGGACTTATTTCCACTACCTATTCGCAAAGAACACGAGTAATGCTCCTGGAACACAGTCAAATTTTGACAGTTTGTACATCTGTGGAAAGAAATTGCTTGCAAAATATTATCTTGATTATTGCTGAAATACTAAAGCCTTGTAGTTCCATAATTAAAATACTTCAAAGAATTTCCTTCACTCTTGGCGGAAAAAACCAAACAAACCCTACACAAAAACATTAAAATAACACATTTGATTACCAGAGCTCTGTTTGCTAGCACCACTCACAATTCATAATAATGGCAACTAGATGGGTTGGGTGAAACTTGAAACTACTTGAGCAGAAATTTTACCAATATTCTCTCATGGCAGAAAATGAAGGACAGTTTTCTAATAGGTAAGGTAGTTCAGCATGAACTTATTCATTCAAAAAAGGAGAAGCTAAAACCTATATAAGGAGAATGACAGGAGTTTCATTTGTAATTAAAGGGCATGTTTGTAAAAAATTTTACAGTTACCTGTTTAAGCTCTTGCTTTTCAGGGTCCTCTTCTAACATTTTTTCAACAGCACCCTGCTGTGGCTCAGTCTCCTCTTTCACAACCTCTCCTTCGACAGTTTGCACAGTAGCAACCAAAACATCTGGCTGCTCAGAATTCACAGGGGTCGCACTTCTCCCACTCTCTTCCATCTCAGCTTCCTCAGCATGTAAAACAGGAGCGTCATTCAAGTTTTCAGATTTATTTTTCAGGGAATCAACCATTTCTGTCTTTGGTGCAGAAGGACTGACAGCGACAGATGCTGAAGCAGAAACCCTGCCTGATAACTCATCATCTGAATTTATTTCACTTACACTTCTACTATCTAAAGACTGTACACTAAACGAATCAATTCTTTCAAAAGCATCAGAGGAGCAGCAGCTCTCGGTCATTTTTTGAAAGTCATCTAAACGATTATAATCTGCACAGGCAGATGTAGACAAAAGCTGAAATGATGTTTGCATGAGATGAAGGCTGGATTTTGAATCTGCAGCTTCTTGTCTTGAACTTACTGAACTCTCACTTATTACACTTTCGTGGTCCAGAACTTCAATATCGCTGGTTGTGGATGTCCCCGAGGAGAAAGTGCTAATGGGAGGTGAGGGTGTATTGCTTTGCCTGTCCTCAGTCTTTCGCTCCTTAGTTTCCAAACCCACGTCTTTTGTACTTGCACTGAGAGGCTGCGAAGCACTATCTGGTGCGCCTCCCATTCCATCCCTTCCGACGCTGGATTTTTCATTAAGGGCATCTTCAGGTACTTCCAAATTTAGAGCAGACACCTTCTTGTCAGTAGCTTCATTTGTGCTTTCTTCGTGCTTGGCGTTTGACTTAAGGTCAGAATTCTCTTCTGATTTCTCCTTGGGAATATCAAGGTTTTTCAAGTCCCCTAGGCCAGCTACAGAGGAATCCTTCACTTCTGCTTCTGTTGTCACTGGTAATTCCAGCTCCTGACTGGAGCGTGGAGACTCCTTTAAAGTGCTCTTCACCTCCTCTTTGGGTCGCTGTGATTTGGCTGGAGGTTTGGACACCACTGGATTTTTCTGTATACTCTGAACATCCGTCGGAGAGAGAAAGGCACTGAAGAAGTTTTCAGATTCATCTACTACCGTCCTCCTCACTGGCTTAGTGATTGCTGTTGGTGATATTGGCTGATTCTGTGGTTCGGTATTTGAACTTAAGCCCCAGGAAGATGTATCCCATCCTCCGCTTATGAGAGAATTTGTTCCTAAAACAGTAAAAAAAGAGACAGGACAAGAACACTTAAAATGTGTTACTTTTCAGTATTTGTCTTCTTAGATGCAACCATTCAGAAAAAAAGATGTTTTCAAAATCATATGACTTAAAGGGAATATTATACATGGTCACATATACCACCATTTTCATTACTACTTCCTTATGAAGCTTGGAACTAATTTTTATACAAAGCAAACAAATTTTAAGCAAAAGACAAAATAATTCTGAGACCTAAGGTGGACACAGATACCTCTAAAAAGTAGGAGAGACGGAATGGTACCAACTTGCTCCTTTCTCTGTTAAAGCAGAAAGAAGCTATACCCAAATTGCACCAGTAAAAACAAGAGTGAGAATTTCAGAAGGAAGATGGAAAGAAGTATCTGGAATGGGGAAACAAGCCCAAACAGCATTCTGAAAGCTCTAAGGGCAAGTCTGAATCCTATATGGCACAAAACCCAGGCATTTACTTTGCAAAGGGAATGTGAAATGAAAGGGAATGTGGCCCTCTGCTTCCTAGAGTAAGAGGAAGCTAGACAAATCAATCTGAAAAACTGCAGTCTAAAAGCAGAGAATTATACAGATTACAAAAGGAAGAAACAATTACTAGGTCTTAAAAGTTATCCACCAGTACCACACAGATGAACACTTCACAGACCATTATAGAAAACATGGGGAAAAAGCTTTAAATATTTGTAAACCTTACACTATAAGAAGGGTTCTGGCTCTTTCAGTTTGAGACAGGCTTCATATTTTTTTCTCACACACCAAGCAGCATCACAGCTGACAGTACACAATTGTCAGCAGACCAGCTAAAATGACAGTTTTCTCCTTCTGTGGAGAAACATTCAATTGATGGGTTCTGAAGTTGCCCTAAAACATCAACAGTTCCTATTATTGTATTTCTTGCAGGTTTTCCAGGACTTGTCAACAGCAATAATTTCAGCATCAAATTTCAGTAGCATCCCAAGTAAGAAAGATAAATCAAAAAATAAGATCCAATTTGATTTTGTACCTACAAACATAATCTGGATAACATAACTATTTCAGGCGACTTTAAACCAAACTCACTTTACACAGTAGCATCTATTAAAAAATGCCATAATATTCAAAGCAGATTATATCTTTCAGAAACTGTTGAGAGCTACTGGGCTCAGGATCTCAAATTCAGATAATTACTGCTGTCATTGCCAAAAAATACTACAAGCATCTGATTTATTACTACTTTGTCCATGATTCAAAGCTTCAGAAAAAGCCCTGTCAGTGAACTGTAACATTCACAAACTCTTTTGACTCCTTTTACAAACAAATATGCTTTCCCTGAAAAACAGATATAAGCTGATCTTTGCTGCTTTCCTTGTGAATTACCAAACTACTATAAACACAAAGGCATAAAATAAATTTTAAAAGTCTGGACAAGTTAGAAGACTGTGTTGCGCTTAGTTTCTTCAATCAACAATTCCTGTAATTTAAGATGACACCGGACTACGTGACTGCCAGGCCCTTGCTCCCACAAAGGGACAGAGACAAGTAAAACTGTCCTTACACTTTGCTGAGCAACAAACCCAGAATATCCTTTCTATTGTCACAGCTTTCTACTTCCAGAATAACTCTGATGTGGGTACACCTGGAAATAACTTCCTTGCACAAATACACATGTTTCATCTAGATATGCTGATGCCACATGACTTATGTTTCCCATCCCCTTCTTTATTTGTTCTTATCTTTAAGGTATTATTTATATAGTGGGCAAAAAAGCTTCTAACAGGTGGGCTCCTTTTTTGCTCTTTCCTTTCCAAACAGCAGCTCCAGGCCGATCATTCTTTTCAGGTTCTACATTAAGACACGTAAGACGGAGACACTTCCTCATAACCAAGCCGTGACAATATTTCCACTAACACATTCCTTTCCACGGACATCGGAGGATTATGAACTTAACACCACAAAGCGTGGAAACTTCACTCGGTTCACAGGGACCAGACCTTCTGCTTCTACCCTGCTTTGCCTGTGGCAAAAAGCAGATCCGTGCGTGTCTGAGAAAGAAATTTCCCCCTTTTTTATTAACTGAGCCTATTAGCGCCTCGACAAAAACCAAAAAGAAATAGGGCTACGAAGCACAGCGCTGCTCATGCAACAAAGACAGGGCACGGGTGACAACCGCCAGGTGTGGCGGGAGCTGCTGAGGCTTCCTCAGGTTTCGGTCCGTGTCGGGGGTGAACGAGAGGTTCCACCGCGCTGCGGAAGGGGCTCTGGACAGCGAGGGGCGGTTAAACCTCCCCAGGTGCAACCCCC